TGCTCCTTTTCCTCCATTCCTCCCATTCTGTTCCTAACCCTTGTAGCTACCCAATTTCATTCATTTCTGGTTTATCCTTTTTATGTGTCTTTTTGCTAAAACTAGAAGATACATGTGTATTTCCTTATATTTCCCTTTACTTTTTCTTACATGAATGGCAGAATACCATAGATACTCTTTTGCATTTTGCTGCTTTCTCTTATCATGAAAATCACTCCGTATCAGCTTATAAAAATCTTCCTTATTCCTTTTTTATAGCAGCATAATTCTGTTTGTGGATGTAGCTTGGTTTATTCATCACCATACTATTTAGGGGCATTTAGGTTATTTCTAATATTTCAGAATTATAAATAATGCTGCAGTGAATAACCATGTACATATGTATTTCTCTGTTGTTGTAAGTGTATCTTCAGGGTAAATTCCTAGAAGTGAAATAGCTGGGTCAAAATGTAAATGCATATATAGTTTTGTTAGATATAGTCAAATTCCCCTCCAAAAGGGTTTACCAGTAATGTATGAAAGTGCATGCCTTTCCACAGCCTCACAACAGAATGCATTCTCATACTTCAAAATTTTTATTAACCTGTTTTGTGCAAACTTGAATTTTAATTCTCTTAAATTTTACTGTTGATTTGGAACTAATACTTTGAGAATTACTCTTCATTTTTTAAGATCTATCAGATGATTATTTTGAGATCCTGTCATTTTATCATTTTTTTTTCATAAGGTTTGGTCCATCCATTCAATGACTACCTATTGAAAAAATATCTTGTGTGGCCTCTATTTCCCAGACAATATGCTAAGACACAATTCTTGCTCTCAGTTGCTTACTGACAGAGAAGAACAGGTTAGCAAATAAATGGACAATTACGAGATAGACACAGTTCTCCATGGACAACACCTTCCAGTGAGGGAAGAGAAAGCCAGACATACTCTGAAATTGTAAGTAATTTAATGCAATTGCCATATAGAATTCATGTATGTACTCCTAGATGTGGTGAAATGAGAGAGAAATACAGTTCAAGAGGCATGTTGAGAAGTTTAGATGTCATCTAGAGGACAAAGAAGACTTACTAAAAAGTTTTAAGCAAAATAAAGATATGATCAAGATTTTTATTATGGCCATGACAATGAGGCGTTTCCAAAGAACTTGAGGTTTATCCTCAAGTGTTAAACTATATTGTATACATAGAAGTAGGTATGTTAGGTCATGTAAAAGAAAGGAATAACCCCTAAGGCAAGAATTGACTGTGACCTTATAGAAGGCAATAACTTCTTTAAGAAAAAATGGATTAATTTGAAGGGGGTCTGCAATGAAACAAGCAAGGTAAAGGGAGGTGTTATCTGAGAGGAAGCCTTTGCCTGCTTTTGTGGTTTAAAGTGGGTCTTTTATTAAAAAAAGGAGCTGCTCTTGGTGTCTGGGGTTTTCCAGTAGAATTTAGACTAACACTAGTCGTTATAGGTATTGAAAAACCAAGACCATCTATACCTGGAACAGCGTATGGCTTACATTAACATGACTTTACTATTCAGATGCTTCATTAAGATGACTTTATTATTCCGGTCTTTTCATCAACCTGATTTTACTGTTTCAGAAAGTTCTTGCCTGGGAAGATCAAGTTGCTAATAATTTTATTGTTCATTTCAGAAAGTTCCTGAAAATCCCCCCCCCCTTTTTTTTTAAAAGATTTATTTATTTTTAGAGAGAGAGAGAGAGAGAATGTGCACACTAGCGGGGGCGTTGGGGGGGAGGTGCAGAGGGAGAGGGAGAGAGAATCTCCAGCAGACCTTGAGCTGAGCTCAGAGCCCAAAGCGGGTTTCAATATCATGACCCTGAGGTCACGACCTGAGCAGAAACCAAGAGTCGGATGCCCAGGGACGCCTGGGTGGCTCAGTCGTTAAGCTTCTGCCTTCGGCTTGGGTCATGATCCCAGGGTCCTGGGATTGAGCCCCTCATTGGGCTCCCTGCTCAGCAGGAAGCCTGCTTCTCCCTCTCCCACTCCCCCTGCTTGTGTTCCCTCTCTCGCTGTGTCTCTGTCAAATTAAAAAAAAAAAAAAGAGTCGGACACCCAACAGACTAAACCACCCAGGTGCCCCCTGAAAATCTTTTTAAACTGATATTAGACTACTCAAACTAAAGCAACATCAAACAGCTGTTTACTTTTCAAGAATTGCTTTGAAACCCTTTATTTTGAAAACCTTCCCCCTTCCATGTCTACCAATCCTAAACTACCAGATCACAGATTTGCCTAATCATAATCAAGCCCCTTTTCTCACACCAAAAGATCCATCTTAAACCAAACTCCCCAAATCTTAAACATACCTGATTTTTGTTTTTCCTCTTCTGAAACACCACCAAGATTCTTGTCAAAGTAGTGGCCTCACTTACTGTGGCAAGCAACAAACTCAAGTTTGGTTTATGAACAGGTTATTTTGGTGGTGTTTTCAGGGAATAAAGTACATGCAGGATTCATTTCTTATTCCATCTACAAATGATGTTTTTGCATAAATGGTGACCAGTAGTTTGGAACCGTGGGCCTAAATTAACAGTCCAAGAATATCTGAGTTAACTTTCTAATTTTTTGTATTTCTTTCAACCTGGCACATGCCATTTACAGTCAGAGCAACATCAAGGAATGTCATCGTGCCTCACTCATAATTATTGTTTTTCAAATTAGTGAATTTGGAAATGTATAATAGGTTCAGGAAAAAGTGAGTGACCTATGTATCCTAGCCAATCGGCCTACATCAACCAAGAAAGACTTTTGAGAAAAGAGCTGTATGGATTTTATGTAAATTTGGTATTTATGAGTACCAAACTTTTAGCACTGACATCTGCCTGAGAAGAAACTTCATTTACAGCAGCAGCAGAAATGAAGTTCACTGTGAACTAGTTTTGGATACCATATGCTTTAACATGCAGAAGAGGAGGGGAGAAGAGGCCTTTTAAAAGCAGATTTCTCTTGCTCTCACGGTCTATGATGTTGCGTGACAACACTGTGACATCATAACTTAGGCTATTTTATTTGCTGTTGCACCAACCAGCCCCGAGGCGTGCAACAGCACCTCGGGGGTGTGTGGTGCTTTCCCTTCGTGGAACTTCAGGCACTTCACAGGCATTTTCTTTCTAAACCTCGCAACATCTCTCAAAGGTATTGCCAAACTGGAGGCAAATTTCACAGTTTAATCATGTGGAACACATTGGTAAATATAGATGTGCCTTTTAGAAAGTTGCTTCAAAGTGTATTTTGCAGCTCACGCGACGTTTCTCAGGGTGTAAACCAGTGGTGTAATGTAAAGCTTTTGGCCCGCCCCCATGCGAGCTGGGAGGAGAGCTGGGTTTGGCAGCGCATAGTGGTGCAGGAGGAAAGGAGGATCGTGCGGAACAGGCAGGCGGACTGTTTTGTTACACATCCTGCCCTTCTCTTCCTGTCTTGCCCACACAGGGGTGCCTCCTTTTGCTCCATCTCGTTCTTTTCTTTGCAGCATCAAAAAAGAGAACTGAGTTCTAAAGTTTAACTTGTAATTAACAGTTTGGTTAGATTTTCAAGGCACAACACAAAAGCCCATTTAATTCACAAGGCCTGTTAATTATAATCCTGGCAAATATTCTTTCCTTCTTTCTTTCTTTCTTTCTTTCTTTCTTTCTTTCTTTCTTTCTTTCTTTCTTTCTTTCTTTCTTTCTTTCTTTCTTTCTTTCTTTCTTTCTTTCTTTCCTTTCTTTCTTTCTTTCCTTTCTTTCTTTCTTTTCTTTCTTTCTTTCTTTTCTTTCTTTCTTTTCTTTCTTTCTTTCTCCCTCTCTCCCTCCCTTCCTCCCTTCCTCCCTTCTTCCTTTATATATGTACTGCTGAAGCAAGCATTATAATCCTGGCAATCTAACCAGTACTTATAAAGTAGTTTTATGGGAAAAAGAGTTCTTATGAAATGAGAATGTGGCAACATTGCAGACATATCTGTTTCTTGCTTTAATCTCTTCAAATCCAATATGAAGAGGAATGGGCTTTTTCTCTGAATATTTCTGCCTCCCAAACCACATCCTTTTCCTTCCCTCACCCCCACACCCACTGATCCCTTAGAAAAGATCCCTTCGTGTGAAGCAGAGACCTGGACGTGAATCCTAGTTGTGTCCCATAATAACTATATAAACCCTGAGTTGTTAAACCTCCCTGAGCCTGTTTCCCCATTTGTAATTTTTACATACCACTAAGTCACAGGAATGTTGCGAAGATTAAATAAAATAATAGGTACGGAAGAGCTGAAGAGATGAAGAGCTGAAAATAATATGTATGGAAAAATGTAGCCAGTGAGAAACATCTTCAACCATCTGGTTTTCTGGGGATGATTTGCTCCACCCTTTTGGGTATCATCCAAGCCAGGACATCTTCAAGAGTGGAAAAGGGAGCTTCAGGACAACAACACACATAAACTGGGACTGTCCCAAGCAAACCAGGATGTGTGATCAATCTCTATAGAGAGAATTTTCAGATGGCAAGTGCCTGTGCCTAATTGCACACATTATTGTGGATAGGGATGATTGCATTCTATGAATGAGAATACCATTTATTGCCCACATACAAGCTGAACTTCTACCACTTCTCTCTTATTTTCAAACTCTTTGTATAGCTTGTATTTCCCCAAATGTGCTACATGGACAAAAGGTGGCACATGAGACTATTTCAAGTGGTATACAGCAAGCACTATTTTTTTTTAAACTGTCTTCTGATTTCTGGTCCCAGTCCTTTCTACTTTTTTTTAAAACAGATCTATAATTTTGGCAGTATAATTTTTTTTAATACGTCTGTTTAGACCAACATTTGAATTGATTTAAAGAAAATGGTTAAGTAAATCAAAGTAAAATGAGATTATAGTTATAGGAAGGTTTACCTGGAATGACTAACAGGTGGGAGGCCCTGCTTGTTTGGATGCAGCCAGTAGAACGAAAGAACAAGCTACTCAGTATTTGGATAAACAGTATTATAATATACCACCTTTCATTCCAGGACAAGTGCTTTGTAAGAGTTGGAGTTAAGATAAATACCCAGTTGTGACGCAGATAAGGAGAACAGAAATGGAGCAATTGCAGTTGAAGATTAGCCTTGGATACATTTTCTGGTAAGTCTTCGGCTTCCCCACCATTTTTATACATTATTAATGTAAACTATGCATGAAGAACTGAAACACTTGGCAAAATTTAATACATACACTGATTTAAACTTTGTAGGGACATTTTACTCATATTTGCTTTTTGAGAGATATGATTTAGGATGGAAACTTAGTTTGTCTTGTCTTGAGAATTCTAGGAATAAAGACTCCTCAAACTGTTTGGATAGCTCATTTAATTCCCTGGTAATCAAAAAGGTCTTTCTGATTTCTGGTCCCAGTCCTTTCTACTTTAACTGCAGTCTCCAAAGAAACAGAAACATTGGGAAGGTGTTGCCGTTCTACCTCTCAATATTTGTTACAGAGACCACTGAAAGCAGTGGACTTTCTAATCCTCACCTTTGTTTCTTCTCTGTTTTCTTTTTGTTTGTGATTTTCTCATCAGGAATGAATGCTTCTTATTCTTTCTGTTTGTTTGCTTAAAATAGAGACAATTTAGATAACATACCAAGACACGTGAGTATGAATGATTAGCGGTCAGCCCTTAGCAATTATACTTTTGCTAAAACACATCAAAATATTTGATAGATGGTCTTTCACAGATATCAGTGTGCACTTGAGTTTAGGGTTTATAAAGGTTTACAAGTATTTATGTATGATTTTGTGTGTATTTTCAGAGTTTTTTTTTTTTTTTTTTCTTGTGGAACTTTGAAAAATGAAGAGAATTAAGTTGTTTCTAAAAAGCCAAAGCAGCCTGCCATCTCTTTTTCTTTTCTGGGCTACGGTCCAATTTGCACAGCAGTTGCAAAGAAAAAGCAAACGCATCACTAGATTCAGCGAGAAATATTGTAACAGTATGTAATCTCTGTCAAGATAAAATTGCTTTGTGATTTACATTACAATAAATCCTGACCTTTAAGTGCTGCAGACTAAGCTAATCTGTGAAGTACTTTATTCCAACACTGAATCAGCGAGTGAAGCTCAACCAAATTGACTGTATTTGTCCCACCGTGGTGTGGTTAAAGAGCCTATATATATCGAAGCAGATTACAGAGCATTGTTCTATGTGTACTATAATAAGTAGAATAATTGAAATATTCAATCTGTTTCATCCTTGTGAAATAATAGAATTATTTTAACCTCCCTTCTGTTTGCCTATTATGGGAATTACAAGTAACTTCATTTAAATATCATTAGGGCCTGATTTAGATCGATGAGAACAAGGAAATTCAGAATTAAGGCTAAAATACCACATGACATTTCAACCTTAATTCACTTCTTATGGCTGTTAATTATTTTCTTTTTCTTTCTCTTTTTTTGGTAAAATAGTTAAGACATTGTGTTGAATTTATTAGTACTAGCTTTGAATTTTTTGCTTTTTGACTCCCCAAGTCAAGTGCTAGGTTTATCAATCATTGGAGAATAGAATTTTCTCAGACATGGTATGAATTTTAAAAATAAGTTGAATTTACCAACTTTGGGAGATTTTTAGCCATTATTTCTTCAAGTATCTTTCTCTCTTCTGTACTCTTGGCTTTCCTCTAGATTTTGATCACACACATATTAGACAACTTTATATTATCTCGGAGGTCAGTGGTAGGTACCCCACCGCCACCCCCCCCACCAAGTTTTTCAACTTCTGTCCCTTCAGCTGAGCAAGACCACAGGGCTCAGCTTAGGTTTCCTTCTCTTATCCGAGAAAAGGAAACTGCCTTCAGGGAGTAAGTTGGAACAACAGTAGAACTCACAGTTTCCCTTTTCTTAGGGGCCACACTCCTGTGCTGCCTGTTGTTCAATGTCTGAAAACAATTCTTTCCTATATTTTTGTTATATTTTCTCATTGTGTAAGGTGGGAAACTCCTGTTACTCTACTGTGGCCAGAAGCAGATGTCTCACATAACTAGAGTTTACAAGGTTGTTTAAGACTTTTATTTAGCTGTTCATCAGTTCTTGCCAAAATACAGTTCTGGAGTCCTCAAAGTAAGTGATAAGAAGGATATTAAAACAAATTCTGGACACAGTAAACTGTAACATTGTTAATGCTCATGTCTAACCACAATGCAGTATAATGATTGCAAAGGACATAGGGCACCATAATCTCTTCAGCAACCTAAAATTAGAATTTTTAAAATTTCTTTCCAAGGTATATACAAGAAAGCAGTGCTAGAGTGCTTCTTTCTAACAAAAGTCATCTTCCCACTAAAATGGAATTTCCTAATAAAATAGTGCTAGAGGCCTCTTCCATTGTTTCTTACGGTTAACTGTTGCTGTGCTCTATTTTAAAGTTACATTGAGTTAAGGGGAGCAGTCTTCATTTTAGTAAGACAAACTTTTTTGTTATTTTGTGTTTTTTTATTTTAGATTTTATAATAAATTTATAGGGTGCCTTGAGGGCAGCCCAATTTGCATCATAGGGGGCCACCTAAGAAACTCACCTGGGACAGACCACTCTGTTCTGCCTTGGAGCACTATTGTCTAGAACCAGAATTGTTCACGAGATACCCCACATTATAAATAGAGACATCCTCGGGGCACCATATCAATGTATACTTGATGGTCTTCTCATGCATTTTTGAGAGGAAAATAGTTTTGATATCAGCAAGATGCGAGCAAGTATTCCTGATGCTAAAAGGATACCTGAGCACTTACCGGAAACATTAGTATTTTTAAAGGTAAATTTCATAGTTCCAAACAATTTTAAAATTAAAATATAGTGATTTTCTAGAATCATTTGCTTTAGTGTCAGAAGAGTACAAAACTAATAGTTTGAAGGAAAGATTATATAAAAATATTGATACATTGATCTAGATAATGTTAACCCCCCCCCCCAGTCTTTCAGGCTGCTATTTATTTTCTTAGCAATTTTTAAAAACTGCCAAAGAATGGACTGGTATAACCTGATGATTTGCGAATATTCAGATTTCCTGTGACCTACTCTACAGACTAGAGTATATGAATCTTCTGTGATATCAATTAAATCAACATCTACCTCTAAAACAACAATTTTATTTTTGTTAGGAAAAAGCCTTAATCTTGACCTGCAACACTTTCCAGTGATTTGGGGGTTTTGCTGTCCTCAAGTCTGTCAAGATAGCCCTCTGCCTTCTCACACAGAAGTGTCGACTCCACACTGATTGTGTAGTTGTTGTTGTTTTGTTGCCAACTATTTGATTTGAGGGTTCAGTAGAATATCTTATCACCTATTTTGTTTTAGATGTTGGTCTGCAAGTTTTTGGTTTTGTTGTCACAACCGTTTTTCTGTTTTTATGACAGAATTTGGGGTGATTTAAAACTACCCTACTGTCATCACCCACCACCATCTTCCCAGAATTTCCCTCTACCTTGACTTCTTAAGCTTTTGTTTCTTCACCTGTTAAAGAGAATGAAATGATCTCCTAATATCCCTTCCAACTCTGAGATCTGTGACTGTATAAGATAACCCTGTTTGGACCTGAAATTGTGGAAGAAGGAGTACATGATGTATTGCCTCACTCTCATGTTTTCAGACCCTGCATGTCTAAGATTAAGTTGCTATGTGTTATATTTTGTCCTCTGAGTCAACACTTGTCCTTACATCAATCCATGTATCTATCCATCCATCCTAACAACAAGCACTGAGCCTCTGCTATGTACTAGCTTTGTTTCTCCAGGTACTTACCAGGTTTGCTTGTGCTATTGGAAGCTATAAATAGCTACGCTATAAATGTCATTTCTCAGATTTATGATCACCTAAGCAGACTTGATTGTTACTTGGAGGTGAAATGTGAATGTTACAGATTTTGTTGTTGTTGTTGTTGTTTGGTGAGGGTAAGGGGAAAGATAAACTATCCCAGCTTTTTAACATAGAGGATTTCTTGCCTGCCACCACAATCTGGACCACTTAGCATGATCAAATCAGGGCTTGAAGTTTCTCCAGGATTTAGTAATCAAAGGAAGAAAGCCAATTGACCTCACCATTTGGTTAGTAGCCAGCCTCTATGATCTTGGATGAATTGAAAAATCTAGGCCTATGGCAGTTCATATTATTAGTTTATAGGCATGTGACAATTTAGTGTTATCAAATAGCCTTATGTAGGCAGCTGCTTACTCTCTCTGCTCTGAGGCAGGACAGTCCTGCTGAATAGTTATCAGGAGAGATTCTAGCAAATGGGGCAGAAGATGTATTCAGGGAATATACAAGAGCATAATTTCAGGCAATGCTTTATTCCTCCAGAAGAATCCTGAGCTCAGCAAATGTAGATTACTTACCTTTTACCACATTCTCTGAGGTCGTACAATTTATATAATAAATATTTGTGGAATACCTACTATACACCAGTCATTTTATTAGGTACTTTCTTTATCTTTTATCTTAATGTAATTTTTATCATAATCTTTTTCTTTTTTAAAATTTTTAAAAGATTTTATTCATTTATTTTAAAGAGAGATAGAGAGTGGAAGCAGGGGGAAGGGCAGAGGGAGAGGGAGAGAGAATCATAAGCAGACTCATGCTGAGTGTGGAGCCCAACCTGGAGTTTGATCTCATGACCCTGAAATCATGACCTGAGTGGAAATCAAGAGTCAGACACACTTGACCCCAATATTTTCTTTTTAAAGTCATACTTGCAGGGACACCTGGGTGGCTCAGTCGGTTAAGCATCTGCCTTTGGCTTGGTCATGATCTCAGGGTCCTGGGATCGAGCTTCCCATCAGGCTCCCTGTTCAGCAGGGAGTCTGCTTCTCCCTCTCCCGCTGCCCCCTACTTGTGCTCTCTCTCTCTGTCAAATAAATAAATAATATCTTTAAAAAACTATGTTTTATTTAAGTCAACATTTGTTTACATTGTTATGATCATATAAAATAGTGTGCATAGTGAACCATAGTGAAACATATATTATACTATATTTCATTTTCTTTCTGATATATCATGTTTTCTCTGAAATAAAAAAATTTCCTTTTCTTTTTTAAATTTTCTATGCAAATTTCACTAATTCATTACCAATTCTCTGACAGAACTGAAATTCTAATACTTCGGGTGAACATTGTATTCACTATCTCTTCTAGAGATCTCTGTTCTGCTCAAATACATACTGGTTGCTATATAGATAGATTATTATTAGATATATCTATATATCTGCTATATAGAGAGATTATTATTATTATAGATAGATTATTGGATCTATCTCTATATATTTATAGATAGATTTCCACTTATATGCCTGTTACACCTTTTTATTGGGCCCCGCTTAACTCTAATGCTTTTTCTGAATTTCTGCTCTTTCATTCTCTTTATGTTTCAGTTGGATTGTTTTTTTTCTAACAAATTATTTCCTAATTCATTAATCCTTTCTTTTGTTTGTCTAATCTGTTGTTATGCCCATGTACTGATTTCTTAATCTGAGTTATTTTATTTTTTAATTCTAAATTTTCATTGGATTCTTTCTAACATAGTCAATTCTGATGAAATTCTTCATCTTGCCATTTATTTTCTTGAATGTTATTATAGCTATTTTGAAGTCCATGTTGATAACTGTAATACCTAGACTACCTGTGGGTCTGTTTCTGTTTTCTTTTTTTTTTCCCTTTGTTTTTAGTCATTTTTGTCTTCCTTGCATGCCTGGTGATTTTTGACTTAATGCTGTACATTGTAAATTAAAACTTATAGAGGTTCTGGATGATTTTCATCTTTTTCCATAGAGAATTTTCTCTTCTTTAGCAGGCAGTTAGAGGAGGGATAAATCACCTTGGTACATTTGCAGATAGTCTATTTCCAGTTTGTTCTTGCTCCTAGAGGATTTCCTTTTGGGGATCTTGGTTGAAAATCTGGAAGTGTTTATCAAGACTTCTTATCCTTGGGTGGGCTTTGAACTCCAATTTTTGTCTTCTTGACACTGTGGTCAGGTAGAGATTTTTCTTCATTTTCAGCTTTTAACTGCAGATTTCTGCTTGGTTTCTTAGCTTCTGATCCTGCAAAATTAAAGAATCTGCAAATACCTTGAGGGAAAAAAGTTCCAGGAATGTCAAGTTTACTTCCTCCTGTGGTCCTCTTTTCTTTAAGATATTGGGTCCTCAAATTTTGGAAGCCTGGGTATCCCTGAACTTGAATTTGAGTCTCCCAAAACCATTGAAAC